ATAACCTATACATATAACAAATACGTTAATCTTAAATTTTAAAGAATGTAAAACATTAATGGCTCGCCCCCTTGCCACACACAGAGGTACAGAGCGCAAACAGATTATCAGTAATAGCTTTGCCCATTTGGAATAAATAAACATAAAAAAATAGAAACGCCTTGTTCGAGTTGCTTACAAGTGTAATCTAGTTAGACTCACTTCTCCAAAATCCTCTTTTGAAAACTCTCCCTCCTCTTCAGAAGATTCCTCTTCCGAAATGAGCTCATCCTCTTCTTCTCCACAGAAACTCTCCTCATCCTGTGACTGCTCCAGACAGTAATAACCAGTTAAATGAACACTGACTCTCTCAGAGTAAGGAGTAGACGTATTCGGGCAGGCATACACGGTCATCTCCTCGCCCTCTGATATTTCTAAGTTCAGCGGAGTTTGAGGGGCGGAGCGTGAAAGGAAGCAAACAATGTAGTCGATATTGTGTAGGATGACATGAACCTCGAGGCCAAAGTCTGGAGGGATATCGTTCGAGAGTTGTAGCACGGCATGAGAGACATGGAAGGACTGTTCCACAATACTCTTGTATTTCTTGCCACTCGTTAACTTGAGACCTGTTAAAAAAATGAGAGGAAAAAAAACAATTCAAATTAAGGGGAAAAATAAAGATTATTTAAACTGTGGTATTATGGAAGGATAAAAGGAGAGAAAGGAAAGAGGAAGAGGGGGAAAGGCTTACCCCAAAACATTTTTCTTCCTCAAGTGAGCACGTGGGCAATTCTACTGCGCATGCCTGGCCCCACCTACATGCCACGCCTCCTTTTGTACATGGTGGACACGTTGATAGAAGGTAAGAGAGCAAGAGAGAGCAATCATTAAGCATCCATTCACTTAGGCCACCACAGTTAAAGAGCAGAGGAGGGGAGACACGTATTGTAGGATAGCAAGATGGTAAGATACTCCAGGGAACCAGAAAATTCTACAAAGTGTGAGTAAATGACCATTCATTGATGAATATATGTATGTATTTATTTTAAATAGCATGTAAGTCTAGAGGGTTTGATCTCAGAGTACATTTTAAGGTAAGGGAGCATAGATAGTGTGTTTATGTTTTTTCTTAAATAGAATACTCGTGAGACGGCTCAGGCTATCAAGAACATGAATATAAGGAAAGCAATTCGTTACTTGAAGGATGTTATTAATCAGAAGCAGATTGTACCTTTCAGACGATTCAATGGTGGGGTGGGACGCAAAGCACAGGTGAGAATGTAGTGCAGGATTCTGGCATAATACTCAGCTTCTTGTCAGTACATTTTTTAATGAATTTTTTAAAGCTGCAAAGCACTTTTTAATTTTTTTAATAGTATATATCATTTATCAAAAATGTCCAGGAGATAATTCCATTTTCATATTTTTTCTGATGCATATCAATTTTGCTGATCAAAAATGGATTCGCTAAAAAAAATTTTAAGTTGCAAAAGCCTTGGATGCTATTTATCTCACTTATAGCATGCTTTGTTAGAATTAAACCAGTGGCTAGATGCATTTTTCAATGACTTATTCTATTATTTTTCCTCCAGTGTAAGGCCCACAAATGGTCTCAGGGACGCTGGCCGAGGAAGAGTGCTGACATTCTTCTCCAGCTGTTGAAGAACGCCGAGAGCAATGCTGAAGTGAAGATGCTCAATACTGACTCGCTGGTGGTTGAACACATATCAGTACAGAGAGCAGCTAAGATGAGGAGACGTACTTATCGTGCTCACGGACGCATCAACCGTAAGACTCTCCCTCACACTCAATTTGAATTAAAATATACAGAGTTGTCTCCAATATAGCATAAGAACATATACTACATGCATCAGAAATAATTTCTCTCCTATAGCCTTTTTTTGATAAGTGCATAAATCAGATAAAAATTTTCTTACTTCTCCATTGCAGTTTTTGTTTTATCAACAAGCAGAAGAGTATTTATTAGTTTTTTTTTTTTTTTTTTTTTTTGCAGCTTACATGAGTTCTCCTTGTCATATTGAGATGATTCTTACCGAGAAGGATCAGCCTGTACCCAAGCCAGAGGAAGAGGAAACGAAAAAGAAGAAGGTCTCGCAAAAGAAATTAAAAAGGCAAAAGCTGAAAGCTGCAATGACTGGGTCTGACTAGATAGATCTATCATATTAAATTATGATAATTTTGTTTTATGTCAAAGAAGAAATTAAGCAATTGAGGCCTCTTGTTCTAGTATACTATGCTTACTTTCTAGTAATTTATCCGCATACTCAATCCACGTGTTTTCACGTGCGTGTAATTGACTGACAATTGATGGATGTGGGATCTGGTTTTGTCGTAAGTAAAAGCATCAGCGTTTCGATGACAGTATAATATGTCTCCTTTTAGTCAGGAGTTCTTGCTTTTCATTTAAAAGCAATCAATTTAACGGACAAGGAAGGTAATCCTAGCAGCTGCATCTTATTTAAAACCATGCTGTATTAAAAATCACCCCAAACTTTTTATAGAGATCATTTAAAATTTGAATACTCATAACTTTAAAAATATTTGTCGGAATCAGCTCAAACTTTTTACACAGCATAAGAGCATCAATATGTATCAGAAAATGTAATAAAAATTGGGGTGATTTCGGGACCATTTTTTTTGGAAAAAACCATGGGCTATAGCCTTGGGCATTTTTCAAAAATTGGCTTGTTTTTAAAAATGCTCATAACTCGAAAAATATTTGTCAGAATCAGCTCAAATTTTCTACACAGCATAAGTACATCAATATGTATCAGAAAATGTAATAAAAATTGGGGGTGATTTCGGGACCATTTTTTTGGAAAAAACCATGGGCTATAGCCTTGGGCATTTTTCAAAAATTGGCTCGTTTTTAAAAATGCTCATAACTCGAAAAATATTTGTCAGAATCAGCTCAAATTTTCTACACAGCATAAGTACATCAATATGTATCAGAAAATGTAATAAAAACTGGGGGTGATTTCGGGACCATTTTTTTGGAAAAAAACCATGGGCTATAGCCTTGGGCATTTTTCAAAAATTGGCTCGTTTTTAAAAATGCTCATAACTCGAAAAATATTTGTCAGAATCAGCTCAAATTTTCTACACAGCATAAGTACATCAATATGTATCAGAAAATGTAATAAAAATTGGGGGTGATTTCGGAGCCATTTTTTGGAAAAAACCATAGGCTATAGCCTTGGGCATTTTTCAAAAATTGGCTCGTTTTTAAAAAATGCTCATAACTCGAAAAAAAATTTGTTGGAATCAGCTCAAACTTTCTACACGGCATAAGTACATCAATATGTATAAGAAAATGTAATAAAAATTGGGGGTGATTTTGGGGCCATTTTTTGGAAAAAACCATAGGCTATAGCCTTGGGCATTTTTCAAAAATTGGCTCGTTTTTAAAAAAATGCTTATAACTCAAAAAATATTTGTCAGAATCAGCTCAAATTTTCTACACAGCATAAGTACATCAATATGTATCAGAAAATCTAATAAAAAATTGGGAGTGATTTTTTGGAAGAAAGCATTGGCTACAGTGCATCCATTTCCTAGTTTTTTTAATGGTCAAAATTAATGGTAAAATAATGTAGATGTGATTTGATGATTTCACTTTACCCTTATTTTTTCAGTTGGTGTTTCCGAGTGTAATGTCCTGAGGTTGAAATTAACAGTTGGTGATATTATTAAATTTGGTCACTTTACTCGAAACGGTTTTCATAATGGCTGGATCGTCTGTGACTCGCTTAAATACTTCCCAATAAATTACAGTGTGAGTGGCTAATAGTCCCAGCTATTTGCATTGCCCATACAATGTAATTATATTTGAGTTTTTTTTGTTATTATTTATTATTAGGTATCTAGTGAATGCAACACTGTTGAGATTGAGCTCATAAAGCAGCTACCATTGCTCTCAATGGAGGCTTGTATTGGGAAAACCAGCATCACAATCATCAATATAATCCAAGTACTATTATTCTATTTAGTGTACATTTTTATTATTGGTGTAATATCTAATTTAGGAACGAATCCTTTCAAGCAGCTGGAGCTTAAAAAGTGACTTGAGCTCAGAAGTGAGAGGGATTAACTGAGAATTTTTTTAACGATTATTATATAAAATTTTGTATAATATTTAGTCATCAGTGGCAAATCTTGACATGACTTGTGTCTTCAATTATGGATCGTTTGGTTACGGAGAAAGTGATCAAGTGAGGGAAGAGATTTAAATAATAACGACATCACTGTTACTATGAATAGATTGTATCTCCATACAAGGATCCAGTGGATTATCTTGCCTTCTCAGCATTCCCTCACATAGTTGAAGGACACAAAGCAAAGTATTTGCACTTCATTTTCACAATCTTTAAATTTTCTATGTAGATCCAAAAAACCTCTTGATGAAGCTAATCATCCACTGGAAAATATAAGTAAGAGCCTGGGCATGGGGTGCCTGTAAACTTAAATTTTTTGCTTAATTTTCAGGGAGTCTTCCTCATTCTTTGATAAACCAAATGGACAAGTAAGCACACACAATTAGATTATACTTTTGCAGCAATATTGCTCAGCTTTTTACTAAATTACATTGCTAGCTATAAATGCAAAAAGAGTTGTCATAAAATGCATGTACATGCAGGCTTATATAGCAAAAATTGTGGCTATAGTAAATAGTTATGGAGGACTAATGACTCCTTTTTTGTATTGTACTATTACAGTAACTGAATTGCGTTGAAGTAAATTTGTAGCTCATTCTTTATGGAGTGTATCCTTCCTTTAGTCTCCGTTCTTGGCAGCTACAGTTCAGTGTTATTAGAAACAGGAAGAAGAGGCTGGAATATTTGAAAGAGAAAGTCCAGTCGTCCCAAGACCACTCATCAACACGGCGTCCCACTATGGCCGGGATTCACATACGCTCTGGAAGACTTGACATTTCTTCAAGAATATAAAGAGAAAGGATTGAGAACGTTTATAACAAGAAGTTGTGCATGGGCATATGTTATAGTACGATCATGTTTATGAACTTCACTATGTATCAAAGTACTTAGTGACACAAGGAGATAGTACAGTCGGTTCCTAGCAGTTTATGATGCCTTTCATTGCATCTGTAAAAGGCATAAAAGAAAAATTTTGTATTTAGAATAGCATTTTCAATTTCCATGTATAAGACAAAGCTCTTTGTATTTTAATAGCCAAACTATAAATGCTAGTAATATACCATTGCCAATATTCAGTGGCTTCACTGGCTACAGTGTATTTATTTATCTACCCATGCACTAGCTAGTAGTTACTATATATCACATGATGATTCAAGCATTAAATCAGTACTAGTCTCTCAGTACAGTCTACAGGAAACATGGCTCTCCGTTGCAAGGATGCTGTCATCCTTCTCTTTCTGTTAGCTTCCTTCACTGATGTGTCACTCTCCTTTGATCCATTAGGTTTATCTTTTATGAGTCAAAATTAATGTGGATTAATGTATGTTTATAATTCACAGATGATTTTGTGATGTCTGAGTCTGTTCAACGTGCTGCAGAATTTGAAAGATGGACGATAAAGGTTTAGTTTTGCCATTCACATCATATGTCACTAATACTTGAATCATGTTCTCATTTGTATCCACAATCTGTTACAGCATAAGAAGACCTATGCAACTGCAGAGGAATACAACTGGAGACTGCGTGTCTACACTGCCAACCATTATTATGTTAAACGACTGAATGAAGGGCATGGACCTGCTACAGAGTGTACGTAGCTATTTTTTATCATTTAGATGTCACTTATTTTCACAGTTGAGCTAAACCAATTTGCTGATCTCACTTTTGCTGAGTTTAAACGAATTTATCTTTCTTCATCATCTCAGGTAAATGAAAAATAAAATACATTATATATAGATGTGTGGTATATAATATACTATGTATCTATATAGCATTGCAGAGCAACTACTGGCAATTTCCAAATGCCCGTTAAAAAGAATAATGTTGAAGATCCAGTTGCCATTGATTGGCGCAAAAGGAATGTGATCACACCTGTCAGAGATCAAGTATTTGCAGCTCTTCTTGTCTTTATATTATTATTAAATTAAGGGATCATGTGGTAGCTGTTGGGCCTTCTCTGCTACTAGTTGTCTTTCAGCGCATTTGGCTTTAAAAACTGGGCAGCTAATCAGTTTGGTAGGCATGTAGAGAAATATCTTGAAAATGAATAATACTTTTTGTATAACAGTCGAAACAGCAACTTCTTGATTGTTCTCGTTCTTTTAACAATCGTGGATGCAAAGGGTTGGTTTGCTTTACTTTTCCTTTGTCTCCCTTCGGTCCATTATGTCTCACTATTATGCATTCTTTCATTTAGAGGATTGCCATCTCAAGCATTTGAATACATCAGATACAATGGTGGGATAGAGTCTGAGAGGGATTATCCTTATAAAGATAGGGAAGAAAAGTGTCACTTTAAACCTTCCTTGGTTGCTGCTACTGTCACTGGTGTTGTTAACTTTACTCAAGTATGTCAATTAATTCAGAGATGAACCTCTTTTTAACATGTTGTACTTTGCTTACAGGGTGCTGAGGATGATATTGCTGTAGCACTTGCTAATATTGGGCCTGTGAGTATTGGGATTCATTCCACTAAATCATTTGCAACTTATAAAAAAGGAATTTATCAAGGGTATATGATCTGATTCCTCTTCCTTCAATTTTTTCTTTTTTTTCTCCAGGAAGCTTTGCTCTAAAAATCCAAGGAAAATCAATCATGCTGGTAATTAATCAAAAATGAAGGTTATACAATAATTTGAAATCATACATAGTGCTGATTGTTGGCTACGATCAAACTGCATCAGGTGAAAAGTATTGGATTGGGAAGAATTCTTGGGGTACCAATTGGGGCATGAATGGGTAAGTGATTGTACTTACATTGTCTTAGTGTAGTTTTGGTATCTAATAAGCTAGTGATAGCATTTAAAAATACCAATAACTATATTCAGCTTTGTGAGGAGTTTGAGCCTAAAAGTATTCCTAATACATCACTCTCTCTTCCTTTCTCCAGGTACTTCTGGATCAGGAGAGGCCATAATGCCTGTGGCCTGGCCACTTGTGCCTCTTATCCTGTAGTTTAATGATATATACATGAGTTATGATGTCCATGGACAGTTATTATGTATATGTATAGCCTTTGATTTGTGAGGCACTGGCTTAATTTTGATAAATTTGTGAAATATAAAACACATGAAGCTTATTTATCCCGTTACCATGAATACAACCCGTAGCACTTAGCAGCAGATAATAGAGAATTAATGTTTGCCTTCAACTTGCAGCTTAGATATACGCTATGTTGCGCCGGCATAATCAATACCATTTTAAATTAACCCATAAGGCCAAGCTCTTTTGTGCTTTATAGCCAAACTATAAAGCTTAGCAGATACTATAATGCACAGAGCCAATATTCAGTGGCTTCACTGGCCACAGTTTGGGCACATAGTGTATTCATAACATCCAATTGTCTTCCCACTACCATCACATGACTGAAGCATTATACAGCACTACAGTCTCAATTAGCTTACAATGGCTCTCCTTTCCAAAGGCTTTGCTCTTTTCTTTTTGCTAGCTTCCTTCACTGTTGCTTTGCCATTCAGCCCATCAGGTACATCAGTACTTATGCTTGTATGTGGATCAGATTAGATGTCTTGTATTTTCATAGATGATGAGGTCATGGCTGAATCCTTTAATATGTGGATGAAAAAGGTTAATAGCTGAATCTATTTAATTATTTACTAATATACTTGTTCTCATTTTGTACATACAATCTGTTACAGTATGAGAAGACCTATTCAACCATGGAGGAATACAACGAGAGGCTGCGTGTCTACACTTCAAACTATTATTACATTGAGCAATTGAATAAAGAGCATGGACCTCATACGGAATGTATGTAACTATTTTCTGTTTTGTTTGATTTTATTCCTTTTTCATAGATGAGTTGAACCAATTTTCTGATCTCACTTTTGCAGAGTTTAAAAAAATTTACCTAACTGAACCTCAGGCAAGTAAAATACATTTATTGAATCATGTGGCATTAATCATAATATCTATAGCATTGCTCAGCAACTAATGGCAATTTCCAAAAGCCTGTTAATGCAAGAGACCCAGTTGCTGTTGACTGGCGTGAAAAAAATGTGATCACACCTGTCAAAGATCAGGTATTTGTATATTATGTGACTTTGTGTGGTTTATTATTGGTTAATTAAGGGAAAATGTGGTAGCTGCTGGACATTCTCTACCACTGGTTGTCTTGAGGCACATCATGCCATAAAAACTGGGCAGCTAATCAGTTTGGTAAGCATGTAAAAATATATCTTGAAATTGAATGTTACTTTTTGTATTTACAGTCTGAACAACAACTTGTTGATTGTGCTGGAGCTTTCAACAACCATGGATGTAACGGGTGAGTTCTGTTTACTTTTTCTTTCTCTCCTGCCCATAATGTTTACTGTTTGTTCTTTCATTTAGAGGATTGCCATCTCAAGCATTTGAATACATCAAGTACAATGGTGGGATAGAGTCTGAGAGCAATTATAATTACACTGCTAAGGATGGAGTGTGTCGCTTTAATTCTTCATTGGTTGCTGCTACTGTCTCCGATGTTGTTAATATCACTAAAGTATGTTTTTTCACATATTAACCTGTATTTAACATATTGCACATTTTGGTTCCATTTTATGGGCCCTCTTCCTCTTATAGGATGCTGAAGGTGATATTGGTACTGCAGTTGCTAATGTAGGGCCTGTGAGTATTGCATTTGAAGTCACAAAATCATTTCAACACTATAAAAAAGGAGTTTATCAGGGGTATGGGACATGTCTATCATCATTTTTTATATACTGATACCTATTTTACCCGCAGGGAGATAGAGGTTTGCTCTCAAAGCCCAGACAAAGTTAATCATGCTGGTAAACAATTCATAATGATTATAATATCAATGATTTGTTTTAAATCATAGTACTGGTTGTTGGCTACAATCAAACTAAATTAGGTGAAGAGTATTGGATTGTGAAGAATTCTTGGAGTGCCAGTTGGGGAATGGATGGGTAAGCATCTAAGCTATGGTCTATATAATTTAATTATAATAGTTTTGTCATTTCCCTTGCACGAAATAACACACTATAATGAAACTAAAGTATTATAAAAAGTTTTATGTGCTTTAAGTACCCAGGATAGCTATGCAGAAAGTTTATTCTAATATGCAGTATCATCTTTTATTTCTCCTTCCCTTTCTGCAGGTACTTCTGGATCAGGAGAGGCCATAATGCCTGTGGCCTGGCCACTTGTGCCTCTTATCCTATAGTTTAATACATGAGACTAGTTCTGAGTGCTGACTTTCTTTTTAGCAGAGACTAGTATTAGCTAATTAGCTGTAGACTGCTGTAGATTTATATTAGTTATTGTCTGCTAGTGTTGTGTTACAGTGTAAATTTTCCACGAATCGTTAAATAAATAAAGGCATGCATTCTATCAGGATGACATCAATAATACATCATTCATTAGACTACCGTACATCAGTCAAAGGTCACGATTAAATTTTATTTTGAATAGGTAGACCACCGGTGTATTGATCAACGAATGTAATTAAATTACAAAGGTTAAGTGTATTATGCCTTCCCTTGTCTATGTTTTTGATTAATGGAGTCACACAAACAAGTTATCAGTATTAAGCATTATTCATTATTACAACTGCAACTATGCTTTATATGGGACCATGGGAAAACCACTTTATTTTTATGTGTTAAAGTGTTATAGATTGAACTTGTAAAGAAAGTTTTTTTATTGTTACAGTTTGAGATTACTTACTTTAATGATATTCATTGAAATGCTTATGACGTCACAACAGGAAACCACGCCTACTTGTATTTATCGAGCTGCTATAATAGTGTGCCTATGAATACTCGTTTCTTGTGTATGTGCGTTTATTAAGAGAGAAAGGTCGTGTGAAAGAGTATCATACTGCGTCTCTTAACCTTCTAGTAGTTAGTTGCTGTTCCTCAACAGCCTGCTAGAGTGTCATGAGCTTTCCTGCTCTCGCTATCCCGGACGCTACCACTGCTAGGCTCAAAACTAAAAGTGTAAGTACCAGCACCTCTCACCTGTGTAACAAAACACAGTAGTGTTGTGTTGTTTATGATAATACCTGCACCAGGTTTCATTATTATTTTAATAATATTCCCTGCGTTTAAAAGCTAGCATCTGCATTCTAGCAAAGGCATTGAAGAAGCTACAGTAGCCTAAGGAAATGTCCTGGTGACACGATTCCCTAATTAGTGGAGAGAATGTCATAGTGGCATGATCCCCCCTGGAATGTAGAGTTGTACAAGCTAGTCTTGTATAAAGTGAATGCTTGCATGAAGTTGACTGGAAGTTATACTAAATATGTAATTTCTGAGCCTCCTCAGGTCATAGGAGGAGGCTTTGGAAACTCCCTAGGCATACCACAACCAACATTCTTGAGTCTGCAGGAATACCTTGCCTGCTGGCAATTACTAACTTTCCTGCCTACAGTAATCACAAGTGCTTAGTGTTTGTCGAATGAGCTTAAGTGTCAGCTCCATAGTATTAATACTGCATGTATTATTCTTTTGTACATATTTTTGTTAAGGTTTTTATTTCTGGCTATGTGTACTCCTTTTCAGATTGCAATGGCTGAATCTAATCACAGTGGTAGTACTAGTAGTAGTAATAATGATGCTTCGGTAAAGAGGCTAGAAAGACCGAGTACTGGAGGAAAGGAGCGGAAACTCTCGTCCTCACAGCTTGAACTTAATCGATGTCTTGAGACAGAAAATATCGACAGTGAACCTCTTTTAAAACGTATTAAGCTCCTCTTCTACTTACCATCCTCTCCCTCTCTCTCTCTCTCTCTCTCTCTCTCTCTCTCTCTCTCTCTCTCTCTTTTAATTTACATGCTCATCTGTATATGTTTTTAATATTTTTATTTATTTCCTTCCTCTTTTTCACTCTATTCAGAATACTCATGTGCTTGGCATAGAGATGGTAGTCTACTCATTCAGGGTCATTTGTACATCACAGCCAATTACGTCTGCTTCTATTCCAGCATACTGGGCTGGGAGACAAAGGTAGGAGACCATGAAGAGATGGAGATGACAGCATAAGTGCTACATGTACATGTAAATCATGTGTATAAAACCCTTACAAGCTTTAGTATTCAAGTTTTCAAGTGTGAATAAAAATATCAAAGTATTTAAAGGCATAAAGCACTTGGAATGAGTTGTGTGTGGTTAAAGCAAATGAAAGAGGTACATGTACAAGTATTATTATGGTAAATGAAAGAGAGAGATTGAGAAAGAGATAAACTTGTTTACTTTTTTTCCTTTAACAGCTGGTTATTAAATGTCGCGAGGTGATACAGATTTTCAAACAGAAGACGGCTCTCATCATTCCGAATGCTATTTCCATCACGACTCTACAACATGAAGTGAGTATATAATACTATACTATACTAATGATGCATTTTAAATTTCATTTTTGTACAGTTTTTCTTCACATCATTTATTCATCGCAATAGTGCTTTTAGAGTACTACAGTGCACATGGAAGAGCAGCATGAACGGAATTGTGAGTTACATGTACATGCACATGTACATGTACTTATAAGTAGATTTCTACATGTAGTTTACATGCCATACATGTGCATGTACGTGCATCTTAGACCGACTGTAAAATTCTACGCACTTATTCATATTCAGATCATATTCATCATAATTGGGAATGTGTGTAGTTCATTGTCCACCGGTTGTTAATAGCCTGTAGTGTTAGTGTAGGCCTACAATAGGAGTGCAATTGGTCTCATATTCTTTATAATTGATATATACTGTCACTGTCTGTGTAATGAATTGTACCTTTATGTATCTATAGTGCTTCAATGAATAGGGCCAGAGCCTAGTTAATGTTTTATTGAATTTGTAGAAGCTATTGTATTGTACATGTATTTCTTTAATTTACACATTAAGATGACATAACTAAAAAAATTGGCAAAATTGCCAACTTTTGGTGCTCAAAATAAAGCATTATTAAGATGTGTACTATGCATGTACAATAAGCATGCATGTACATATACTGTATATAAGATATAGTCTAATATTTATTTCTTCTGTTATTATGATACAGAACCTCACAAAGCCTGACCTAATAAGAATGATACAGTCGAAGAAAGAAGGAGGCGAGAATGGGAGCCTAAGAGGAGATGGAAGCGCTAATAATCTCATCCTTACAACGACTGATAACGAAGAGGACCTATTATCCACTGGTGGCAGCAATGAAGACATAAGCAGAGGAACTGGTAGCACAAGCATGATTTCCGATCCTGATCAAACCGATAACTCATCTATCAAGCTTCGGGTCGGAAACACTCGTCTCGAATCGACGAGCGATGACACTGAAACTGATTCGTGCTTGAACACTCAATCCGTGACTAGCACTGGAAGTACTACCTTTACCACAGATGGACTAGAGGAGGCTGGGAGTTTGAAGAGATCTCTGTCTCTCATGAGATTAAACTCAGAGGAATTCGGTGTCCTGGAAGAGGTTGATGGTGCGGCTACACCCAATAAAGATAGTAAAAGTGAAGGTTAGTGAGTGTATACCGTACACACACAAACACCCTCTGGATAAACACTCTTTGTGTCGTAGAAACTATATAAGTCCTTTATTATCAGTAGTAGACTAGTAGTACAAAAACTCCCTTTAGTTAATAAGACGCATTACCTCAAGTAGACTTTACACTTTTCTGAGATAGTTTTCCCTTAAATGTTTTGAACTGAAATCTGATTAAGTCATAACTACATTGTACATGTATTGTGACAATTACTGTAGTATTATTTACTTCCTTTTTGCTGTTAATGTTGATAAAATATACATGTAGAACCACACCATGTATCCTCATTGCACCACTAATTGTAATAGCATGATACTAGTAATGTGGACCGTGTACTACTAATTGTATTTATGTTTCATATTATTTGTTATGTTTGGGTCAAGTGTATTCATTAATATAATTGGGCCTATTCCTGATGTAAGTGTACTGGAATGCCTTCATCAAAGTTGGGTATACTTTCACTGTATTCAAACTTGTACTGTTTCTGCTCCATAATTGCATTCCGTGCATGTATCATTGTATGTATTGCGACTCTACTTGTCTCTCATATTAATTTAGTAAAGCAATCAGACTAAGTATAGCCTCTTATATATTTACTAATAGAATGAGGTATTTTGATTAATTGTTTGTTGTACCTATATAGACTACCTCTTGCTACAGCTTATACTGTCCTTTGCATCATTTCCTTTAGCCTGAGGAGGGAAAGGAGAGTTTAGTATGCCAGCAGCAATTATTTCATTTCCTATAAATCCTTACCAGTATACAGTCTGCTATGTTTTTATATGTGCAGTCATATAGTGCAGTTCTTAAGAAATTATTATAATCAGATGTCTCATGTTCATGTCAATCGATTGACATCATTGTACTGTGTACTCTTTGTTTAAATGAGCAGCATTATCATTATTAGTGGTAGTGTTTATATCATGATTCCTTTTCCTGCCCTTATGCACGTATATATTTGCACTGCCTCTTTAGTGTTTGTTTTATTATAAACACACAAACAAACACACTAGCACACATTCACTCGCTCTCAGATGCATATACACTCATCCATCCATGTTTGGCTTTTGTAGTACGCAAGTTCATTATGTGTGTCCTTTATTAGGATCTCCCGATGCTTCTGTTGGCAGGGACAATTTGAGCCAGCTGGTACAGATAGGAGGATACGGAGTCTCTTACTCTCAATTAATCAATACTTTGATCATTGTGCTGTAAGCAAATGAAGAGAGAGAGAGAGGGGGGGGGGAATATATTTAAAAAGGAATTTTCTAGTGTGTATAATATTTTATGCTTGTTGGTTGTACATGTAGTATAGTGTAGTGTAGTGATTATCTTTGATTATCATGCCACGAATAATTACTTGTAATCTTGCATCTGGAAAGTCCATGCATCCAAATATGCATGTGATATGCATTTTAAAACCATATTGAATTATGTTTAATATCAGCTATCGACTACGAGTTGTACATGTAATAATTTTTCTGGGTTAGTCATTATTTCAAAATGAAAATCTACCTTATATTTTAATCTTTCTTTTAGGATCACTGTTCTAGTTTTCTCAATGTTAATATTATTATGTAAACTATCTCAGCTCGATCCTAACCTCAAGGCGTGGTTGTCGTGGCAGCCGTGGTGTCAGGTCATCTGCAGCTAGTGTTGTCGAAATTGGTCACTGCCAATTTAAAAAGAAAATTTATATAGACTATTTGTCCCTTCTCCACCTCCCTCTCCCTCTCCCTTTATGTATTGTGCTTCAAATTATGCATTTCTCATTTTTGTACCATTAAACAGACTGGCTCTACATTGTATATTACTGAAATTTTAATAGAACAACAATCTGTACAACTAATACAATAAAAAATAAATAATTTTAAGGGCGTGACTACTTATTAAATTATGGGCGGGTCATGCCTGATTCGGACCACGCCTACCATCAATTTCCTTCTTGTGTTGGTCAAGATGGAGGCTCGCTGTTCTTTGTTGTTCTTGTCTTTCCTTTCATTTTTTACACTGTTAGTTCTATTAATGCCACCTTCAGCTGTTGCTGGAGGATCTCCCGAATCTACCAGTACCCTAGAACTAATAATGCGCCCGGATAACCCAGGCGTGAGTTGAACTTTGATATCATTATAAACTTTTATGCTTTGGTGTGTACAGGTCGAGGGATATTACTGTACTTATGTGGCCCTACCAAAAGAAGAGAGCTATATAGGTAAGACAGCAGGCTGGAGTGTGTGTTGTTTATATTATTTCCTCCTACACCTGCTTGTTTTTAAATGTATTGTGTTTCATTATGTTTTCCTTCAGTTGGATATGAGCCTAAGATGAAAGCTGGTATAGCTCACCACATGTTGTTGTTTGGTTGTCAGAATGTAGACGAAACTGAGGGAAGAACTTGGTTAGTCACATTATGTCTAGTTAATCCTTTTTTACATTTCTTTTTCATTCTCTCTCTCTCTCTCTCTCTCTCTCTCTCTCTCTCTCTCTCTCTCTCTCTCTCTCTCTCTCTCTCTCTCTCTCTCT